ACGAGCAGGCGGCCTATGGGCGGATGAACTACCACATGTTCTCTGGGCCATTAGGACGACTGAAAAAGGGGCGACTGGAGAAACTCCATTCCTCCTAACTTATGGTGCGGAAGCTGTTCTTCCAATAGAACACTACGAGCCGACTCTTCGAGTAATGCTATATGACGAAGAGGCAAACTGGGAAGCCATGCGCCTGGCATTAGACTCACTTCCTGAAAAGAGGGGCAATGCTGTTTTGCGCCATGAGATCTATCGCCTGAGAATGACTAGATCATACAACAAAAAAGTACACAGGCGTCCACTCAAAGTAGGGGACTTTGTACTTAGAAAAATGGAAGCAGTTGGTAGGGCTAATGAGTCTGGCAAACTAACTCCCAACTGGGAAGGACCCTACCGAATCTATGAGGAAGTCAGGGACGGTACCTACCGTCTGGAAACACCAGACGGACAACCGTTGCCTCGAACTTGGAATGTAGACAACCTTAAAAAATATTTCTTCTGAAAGATGTAAAGTAAAGAGCTACTTAATAAAGTTTGCACTTACTATTCACTTTTTGTATTACGAGGGGCATGCCGTCTGTACCTTTACAGTCGGCTACTCTCCATTGAGTTTTTTCACTCTATCTTCAGAGGGGCATGCCGTCTGTACCTTTACAGTCGGCTACTCTCCATTGAGTTTTTCACTCTATCTTCAGAGGGGCATGCCGTCTGTTCCTTTACAGTCGGCTACTCTCCATTGAGTATTTTACTCACAATACTTAGCTAAAAAGATTAGGGCCTGGCCGACCCTGTGCCTAACAGGCGGCTACCCTTCTTTTACTTAGCACCTACGTTCATCAAGAACTTACCAAGGCCACAGGCCGAATGATCAGACCAGGCGCCAAGCCACCTGATCAAATCTACAAAACTAATACGACCTGTCCCAACATCATAGCAGGCGTCCGACGGCATCCCTCCGGATGAAATTCGTCGCAGAGAGCAGCTCCCTTTTGGGTGGAACATTGTTCTATAAACTAATTACACGGCACCTATACGACTGTCCCCAAGGGCAACCACGTAGCCGTTTTTGAGACAAGGATAACTCTATCACTAACCAAACCAGTGGTAGCAGTTGACATCTGAGTCAGATGACCGCCTGTATTACTTGGGATAAATGCAGGGGGTACCTATTGAGTTAATAGCCAACAAACATTGGCGAATCAAGGGGTCTAGCCGGCCTACGCCGCCTGGTACCTCTACTTCTCAAACAAAAGTGACGGCGACTGAGTAACTCCAACGTTAACTCATAGTCACTCCTTCAAATTTGGTATGGAACCTAAAAGGTTTGAGTCGTCCGCCTGTTTTAAACAAACAAGGGCACTCAAACCCCTATTCCTACTAGGTAACCTATTGAGTTAATAGCCAACAAACATTGGCAAATCAAGAGGATCAGCCGGCCTCCGCTGCCTGGTACCTCTACTATTCAATCTAGAGTGTGACGAAGACTAAGTAACTCCTATGTTAACTTAATAGTCACTCAAACTTAGTATGGAGCCTAAAAGGTATGAGTCGTCCGCCTGTTTTTAACAAACAGGGACTCTCAACCACTACTCTTGCTAGGTTAACAAATTACGAGTTAAAATCCAACATTGGCAATAAAGGGAAACAACCGGTACCCGCTGCTTGTTATCCTACTTAATTCCTTGGCGACTAGGTAATACTATTTACTTGGTCAGACCAATTGAATAAATAGTTCGAATACCGATTGAATAAATGGCCGACTGATCGTCTATCCTGGAAACAGACAACCAGTCGTCCAGGGGCATAGGCGGCGTACTTACTATTTGTACCTGTCTGCAACGTTCGGCCATGCACAACAGTCGGTCTAGTGAACAATGGGATATTAGATATGGAATACTTAGACAAATTTGAAGCAAAACAAAAATTCATTAAAAATAAGCCGGTCATTAAAGACCAGCAAAATATTCAAAGCCCCGGCCCCCTGGCCGGGTAAATACAAAGCAAACGGCACGCAGGCCGTGGAAAAAATACATTAAGCTTAAGAAGGGGGCAGTTCAGTATTAGCAGCTGCCGCCTGGTCAGCACTCTTCTTGCTGGACTCGGCTTCAGCTGCATCCTCTTTTGATGCCTTACCCCCAAGTGGCACAAGCGCCACAACCGGCTCTTCCTCCTCCTCCAACGCATCTCCCAACGCCTCTTCTTCAGCAGCCGCCAGGATCTCTTGATTATATGTTTCCGAACACTGGCGGTACGTTCTTTCCCATGAGGCAAAGTCGGCATTGGGGAACAGGCGGCCCCAGGTCATGCGCTGGATTTGAGCGGAGTCTTCCACCATCTCCCGGACGAGCTCTTTCTCTCTTGCTCGGCCTTTTCCGAGAGCTCTTGGGTAAGACTCTTCTCTTGGCTCACCAGGCGTTCTTTTACGTTGGCCAAAGATTTCTCCATGGCTTCGTAAGAGTGCATTTTTTGGCGAAGAGGTTTCAGCTCGGCCTTAAGATTTGTGACGGTCGCCTCCAGCTCGTCATTCTTCTTCTGGGTCGCCTCTAACTGAGCCCGAACAGCGGCGGTAGCCTGCGCCTGATAATAAAGAATATCAATGGTCAGTACTTCATTTTGGGCAATTTGAAACATTGCCTTATCACAGTTGGAGGCGGCCATAGCTTTTGCGGTCTTTACCTCTTTGTTTTTCCGATCAATCGGCTTGCGAAGGCTGTTAACTCGGAGCAGGGCCTAAGTACAAAAAAAAAAAAAAAAAAAAACAGGCGTCAGTTTCCAAACAAAAAAGATAACAGGCGTCCTGGAACTCAAATACTCAAAAATATGCTAAGTATACCTCAGCAAGGACCCCTGAAATCCCATCAAGGTCAAGGGTGCCGGCACCCCTGACCGCCTCCCTTTCAGATGGAGGAACTACTTTGATCATGGACTTGGCTACCTCAACCAAGTCAAGCCCCTGAGGGCCGGCTGCATCAAGCGTAAAAAAAAAAAGCAAGTTAGACCTAGTCAAGAAGGAAGCAAGTGTGAAAGTTTTTACAAGAGATTGTCCATACTTCTAGGCGGCCCCGCCGGGGTTTTAGAAGAAGTGGCCGGCTGCTTCTCAGCCGCCACTGTTTTCCTGGAAGACCCAGGAGAGCTTGCAACAGTCGTCCTCCGGGCCTTGGGGTCCGGAAAAATAAAAAGAAAATTAAGAGTAAGAGAACTGAGTTACCTGAACGAGTGACGGTTGATGAAGTTCTGGAAATCTGGTGCAGTCGGCTTGTCAGAACAGGCGGTAGGCAGAAAAGGTCCGAAATGTCAGAGCAAGTTCAGGGGTCCGAATGTTCTCGCAAAGTTCTCAAATGTGAAAATGACCGAAGTCAGCACTTCCTTATATAGGCAAAGTGAGAAGGCGAAGGGTCGCTTCCAAATTCAAAATTTGGGCGGGAAAATCTCTCGGCCGTTTACAAGGTGACACCTGTAACAGGCCGTCGCCTGTCACCGTGCGACACCTGTCACAGGCGACACGTGACCAGTCACGTGCCACCTATGAGGGGCAAATGATTAGGGGATTTTTATCCACCAATCACCGTCTGACAAGTGGACCAACCAGGTTCCGCCACGTGTCCTTCACGAAGGCCAATAGGAGCCTGTCACGTGTCAATCACAGATACGTCCTCTACGGACCAATCGAGGCACGCCACGTGTCCACCCATGCCAAATGGGAAAACCGGCCAACAAGGCCCAATCCTGTCTAGAGGCCCGGTCAGCCCTAGGTTTACCCTAAACCTAGAGAGTGGCACGCTTCTCAAGACTATAAATACTTAATTAATCCTCATTAATTAAGCAATCAAAAAATCAAGAAAAGAAAACATCAGGCAACGAAGCAATTGAGAGGCAATTGATCAAGCAATTAATCTCACCTGAAGAACAGAAACATTACGGAACACTAATAACCGGCTAATCTCGCTAACAAAGCAGATTACCAACATTAAACACTCTCACCTAGAGAGGTTTTATTACTTTAATTTCCGTATTAATTACTCCTTAATCAGGTACTAACTTGACCGTTGGAGGCGGAGCTCTCAGGAGTCTCCGTTATTTTGCAGGTACAGGCGTCCGGTTCCAGTCTCGGAATTGTAACTCTCCCGCAGGACATCAGAAAACCCCGAAACAGGTAGTGCTACCAAATGTTTTCAAACTTGCGGGTAGTTCTAAACAAATAAAAAAAATGGGTAATTGTTCACAAATGACCCAATGTTTAGGGTAGTTCTACACAAAATTTCTTAAAATTTATACATAATAAAAGTCAATTAAAATGAAGTTAATTTAAATTTAAGGATTTATATAATTTTTGTTTTACAAGTATTTAATTTATTTAATGTCTACCTTTAAAACTCTCTTGTTTGATATATACGTAGTAATTATAATATTTTATGAATTATTGTAAGTTTTTATTAAGTAACCTTTTTATCACGTTATTTTTTAAGGGAAAAAAATGAAAATGTTTTTGGCGGAAAAAAATTATGTTGTGAATGCGACTCGTGCTATTTAGATATAACTTTCGTGATGATTGCTTTAGTATAGATATTGATTGATTGTAATTGTACTACATAGACATCTTTTTTACAGATCTTTGTGTATTATTTATATGGTCAAAACAGTCGTATCACTCATATGAAATCTAACATAGCCATATATACATTTAAGAAAAACAAAGGAAGTGGTACATCAACCTCAAGGCTGGTACATTCAAAATAGTCTAGTACATGAATACCTCTCATACGGAGATAAACAATGGATTCCTCAACAACAGGTGCACGGAGGGTGCCATTTGTTTGAATGTTACGTACACTTCGTATACTAGCATGCCATTATGCCAACATAAGACATGACACACAAGATTGGACATGATCCCGAACCCAGGAGGAGAAGGGACCATGGACCTTACAAGTTACAACTACACAATATTGACACAAAGATGAACAAGTAATCTATTGCTAAACTTGTAATTGACAGAAGCATAAAGAAAAAACCCGATCTCACTTCTCATACTATCAATCATCAGATTTAAATTTGGATCTCTTTACAAAAAAAATTTCCTACTAATCATAGCAATCAAAACATTTCAAAGCTTTGCGTTCCCAAGTTAATGTTGGGTAAAAAAGAAAAAAAAAAAATCAATTGTCTTTAACAAGTTTTGAAACAGCTTTCTCAATTTACAAAGAAGTTGTGAATCTAACAAGTCACCTTCTTCTCTAAAACTCGAAGAAAAGTCAGGAACTGAACACCTATACAACACCACACTACAGCCTTAATTTTCCATTTTTCCTGCAAAAATAATCTTTTTTTTCTTCGTTTTTCTAGTTGAGTCAAATGCGCAGTAAACTAAATATTGAATTTTCTGTTAGGAGAGATCAGAACCTGCGTATTTTCCATAATAATCCTACAGCTCAGTCTTTGAGCTACCTGTCACAGTTCCAAGGATAAAATTTCAGCTACAATCATAATACCAATAAAAGTAAATTTTATAGAGAAATAATTATACAAAGAAAATACGAAAAATAAATTAATTTTTTCCTACCATTTGGTCCTAGACCACCAACAGCAGAGTTAGAGTCAAAACCCATATGAAGAAGACTTTGCAGGTCACTATCCCATACAGCCTGTATGAGCAAGGAAAATAAACATGTTACACCTTTTTTTACACTATGAAAACAGGCAAGTTACATTTTTCAAGGGGTCTGAGGATTTACTTGAGGCATGTGATGATATTGCGACGCTGAATTTGGCATAGCAGTCAAACTTTGATGGATTCCTTGAGTAAATGGATGGGCAGAGCCCATTCCTTGGTTAAATCCGAGTGCAGACGATTCATTACCTCGTGAGTGCAGAATCTAAGCAAGAGGAAATGAGTGCAAGCTCAACACTAGCTCAATTATTGTGTAATTGAATATGGAATTAATAGTCTTTTGAAGAACTTATGCTTACATCTTTGGTTAGAAGTCTCTCAATATCAAAGTTCAGCTCAGGGTTCACGGTGGAAAGTTTCATTGACAGAAACTGTAACAGGAAATAGAAAAGATTAGCAAGCATTTAAATTCCACAAGAGTTCGATAATGGCCAAATGGGTTCCCAAACCAAAACTAACATGTGCTATCAGCATTCAACAATGATTGCAGAAGTACTATTTAGTAACCTCAAAAAGTTTAAGTTCTGATAAGTTCCAATATTTTCTGTACGAAGCAACGAGTATTTAAGTTAATTTCAAGATTAAAACAATTTATGTTTTGTTCCAATAAAAAAGAAAAATTCATGCAACTTGAGATAATTGTTTGTCAGCTAAAATAAACAAAGCTGTAACAAAGTAAATGTACAACTATTTGCAAATGCAATTTTTTCAGGAAATTGAGACCGAAATCAAGTAAAGCAAAGAAGGTTTCAAACCTAAAATGTAGCAATCCACGACAATGGCAAAGACATGTACCAAATGTAAGAATAGATACATGTGATATGCCGTAAGCACTACTGGTTCTCTATGAAAAAGGAACTTCACAATTAATAAGCAACATCTAAGAAGATATATATCCATCTCTGCTTTTTGAGAACAGACAAATCATACAAGATGGAGGTACCAACATGCATTTTGAACTTATTTTATCAATCAATTGACTTTTTCACACTCGTTTTATGACTTCTAATCTGCTTTAACTGAAGGTACAAATTTTTTCAAAGACAGTATCCAAGCAACAAAGGGATAAACCAAAACAAATTACGCACCTCAACCTGCTGCTGGAGCGATTGAACATAATTGATTATCTCATCTAGCATCACAGCTTTCCCGGTAATCTTGAAATAATTAAGCAAATCATGATCAACTCAGTTTACACGAAAAATTAGTTTCTACCGCAACTAACAATTAAAGGAAAATTTAGTCACCTTATTACACCCAGGAACAAGTTCTTGAAGAAGTCTCATTCTCTCACTGATCTTCTCTCTCCTCACCTAATAAATGGACATGGTTTATGTTCAGAACATACACATTAAGTTTTTAAGTTTATACCACAAGCTAAGGTGTTCAAACTGATTACCCTTTCCGCAAGGCTGTGACTATTTGTTGCCTGACCGCGTCTAGCCCTCACATGAATGTAATTTTGCTTCGGAGCCTCTTCACTTTGAGAGCCATCTTTCACCTGTTTACCTGCTTGAGCACTGGACGAATTGGCAACAGCATTTGGCTCGTTTCTCTTTTTCTGATCATCGTGTCCCTTTTGGCCCGACACATCACTTGAATGATCTTTCTGCGGGTCTCCATCAGTAGTCTATCATGCACAAAATCCATCATATTAATCAGCTAGTGCATCGATGAATTAACCAGTTCAAGATACACAAACCATTAAAGGTCATCATTGATATAAGCCCTAACCCCATTTATGGGATTAAGGCTTTAATTGATCGATAGATACTGATATAAACCCAATAATCTAAAGCAGGACTCCATCACGTTATCTAGCTAACTAAATACAATACATTTATTACAATAGCCAAAAAGCAATAAGAAATTGACACATTTGTCAAACACAACACATTAATCAATCAAATTGCAAATACATATCACAAATTACACAAATCAGTCAAGTTACATAAGCTGATAAGCTGATATGTACCTCATTAGTCGGAGAAGGAGACTCGGAGTCTCGCTTCCTCTTGCCATTTGGTGATACACCTACAGCTCTCCCATCGGCAACTTGGCAGCCTCGTTCAGTCTGTGCAACATTCGCCGATGACTTCTCATCGATGCCCCTTCTATTGGATGCATATGCTGGAGGAAAGTGAGACTGTGAGCCCTCATGTAGGCCAAAAGGACCAACAATTTCAGGGAAATTCCGGCCCCCGAACATCGGAAGCTTGGGCAAAATCTGATGAGCAAGGTTCGGATCAGCAGGGTAGTTACCAAGGTGTGAACTGCTAACCCCTTGGGATTCAATTAACATAGGATAGGAAGACGACTTTGTCAATTCACCACTAGAAACCATAGAAGCACCACCATAATTTCCACTTTGATTACCAAGATTAACCATTTGATCCCAACTAGAACCATAAATTGAACTTAATGTCGTAGATCTTGAGATCATACCCGAAGACGGCGAATTGGGTATAATTTCACCATGGAACCCCATTTGATTACTACTCCCATCATCACCCATATTCTAGAAAACAATAACCAAAAAGACCCCAAAATGTAAGTTCATGGTTGATATATAAATACACAAAATGTAACAAAATAAAATACTAAAATATAACAAAAAAAAAAAAAAAAAAAAAAAAAAAAAAAAAGAGCTCAGAATTCAACAAACTAACACAATTACACACACCCAGTACACAAAAGAGGAGCAAAAAATTGATAAATTAAGTAAAGGAGTTACAGCAACTAAAGCCAAAGTGACTTTGACCAAAAATGAAACTTGTTGATATCTTGTATGACTCAACAAGGAACAAATTACCTTTGCAGCTTTTTATAGACACTGACTAGAGATGAGCTAAAGTAAAAAGAAGGCTCTTAATTCAGCATCCTATGAATACAACCCAAAAAAATTGAAAAAAAAAAAAAAGAATTGGGATTATGTAAATCCTTTATATCAACTTATCAAGCATAAAATCTACTACCCGGTACCCCGTATCTAAAAGTCGTTACACCACGGTTCATTTGTAAGGATGAATTAGATTCGTAAGGATGAATTAAGTTTGCGATTCTTTAGTAAACACGACTTGATGATAGATGACTGATTAGCTAAGTTATCCCATTGCCAAAAAAATCAATCAAGTGACATACGTTAAATACTATATGAAATAAATAAACCGACAAGAAAGTGATGAATTTTTCAGAAGCATAAAGTTTTGGAAACAAAGAAGAAACGAATAGCATTATTAACAGCTCACCAGAGTTGCATAAAGAAAGCAGATTCCCTTTTCTTGCTCTTCTTCGTTCTACCTTTTATTTATTCACTCTAAATATTAAACCAAAAAAAAAATGACCTGGGCTACCAAAAACAGAAGGGATCAAGAACAACTCTGCAATCAAATCGACAGTGCGAATCGAAATGGGTATCAAATACTTGCAATAATAATGGATCAAATTTTGTTATTTTTGTTCAATTTTCAGAATGAGATTTCCAGAAATTCAAAGGAGAGTAAATTGAATTGAAGCATAAAAAATATAATAAAAATAAATAGTATGGATCACAGGAATAATAATAATAATAATAATAATGGGAGTAGATTAGATTAGTATAGTAATGTAATACTAGAAGGTAAGGAAGAGAGAGTGTAATGATTGTGATTTAGGAGAGAGAATGAAAAAAGGGTGGTAAAAGATTGGTTACCTGCTGAAGCAAATGGTGACATACATTATTTTTTAATACACTCTAAAAACTACTGCCAACTGCTCTTTGTTTGGTAAAATCATTTCCTAAGAACTTCAATAAATTTTTTTTTCGAAAAAAAAAAAAAAAACTTTAACTTTTATGTAATCTTTTAACTAAGCTTTAAAAATAATAATTACATGTATCAGAGAAATGCATTGATGAGTTAGTTTTAATTAGTAAACAAATAAGAACTTGGAAGAACAGAGTTAAGACTTCAGAGGTGCTTCTCTTGTAGCCCAAGCTTGTTGGTAGTATATTTTACTTTTTGTTTTATCAATTTATTTTTTTGTTATTTTAAAATATGAAATTACTGACACAAATGCCAACTATTTCTTAACTAGCCTTCTCTAAACAATTTGCTGTTTCTCACTCATTTTTTCTGAGTGCCAACTAACCCCACTCTTTGTTCCTTTTCATTTCTTTTGATAAAACTAACTCATTATTGTGTAAACTAAGGTTCATGGCCCTATATGATCACCTCTTTCGTCATCTACATTGTCCACTGACCACTGGTGTGGTAATCATGGTTTATTTAACCGGGAAAACAAATCTAATTGATGGCTGTCTGGTAAAAATTGGGTGTAGAATTGAACAATTAAGGTGCATTTTATTTATGCAATTTTAATTTATTTGAGCTAGTCTCATGTCTCATCTAAGTTGGTTTTTAACTTAGAGGTGATCAGAATTTGGGATATAATGGGCCTTAGTATACAACTTTAAGCCCAAGCCCACACAGAAGTGTCAGGCATGTCTTGTTATACAAATTTTTACCTAGACTCCAGGGTAGGTAAAAGTCCCTACACCCCGCCCCACTGTATAACTCTATACTCTTCCCCACTACATCTCTCCCATCCTTTATCCCCTTCTTACAAATTATTGCAACTATCACCGCATCTTATCCCCAAATTATGTATCTATCTATCTTCATCAACTCTAACTATAGCATATTCCGTCCATTTCTGGCTATTTCACCGCCATTCTCTTCTTCTCCGGCGACATTCTATAACTCGTCCCGTCTGCACTATGAGCTCCGATAAAATCTCAAGATTGATCACTTTAAAACACTCGATTTGTATAAAGAATCTCGGATCTTCGAAAATAAATTTAGTGGCAGTTTCAGCCGTGCTTCTAGTGGCAACAATTGTGGTTATGGTGGTAGTCGTTGTTATGCAGTGGTAAGCGTATTGAAAGCAGAGAATTAAAAGAAGGTTTTGATTACATGGAGTGATGGAGTAAAAGTAGATGTGGAAGATGAAATTCCATCGCATCACCCCCACCATGGATCATTTGTCACTAAGAAAGCATGGCAGCTTGAACTGATTTTGCTTGGTGATGGGGCTAGAATATCGAACAGAGGAATTTCGAAATTGTTGGAAAACTTTTTATTATTGAACATTTAATATTTTTAAATGAACATTTTTTTTAATGGTTGTAAAAATGAACATTTATTTATGGATCGGAGCATTAAAATAACCTATAGCGGTTAACGTATCACTTGCAAATTTATTCATTGACCAATGAAAAAAAACATCTTTCAATTAAAAACTAAGTACTCTATATCTAAAAGTTAATAACATAAAATTAATAAGATATACTAATTGTAAAATATTCAATAATATGCAAATGAACATTTAGTATTATGAATATGTATTATTTTAATGTTCATTTTTATATGTGTAAATGTTCATTGTTACATAATATAATAAATTTTATAAATATAAAGTACATGATATAATAAGTGTTTTAGTATCAAAATGAACCTTTAAATATATGTAAATTGTTCATTTAAATAAAATGCATGTAATTGTTTAGTATGAAATTATCATGAATAAAAATAAAATGAGCATGTATCAATATGAAAATGAACATCTGTATACAATAAAAAATTCAATACTTTTTCTATAAATTTTTTAGAAAGGTTGTTTGCAGGAGTTCTAAAAACTTTATGAGAAGGAATTTGTAAATTAGAAATAATCATAATATCAGCTTCCAAAATTTACATATATATTTGTCTTTTAAATTGAACATCCTAGTATACTAAAAATGTACATATTCGGATTAGACAATTGTTCAAGAAAATGTTAAAAAAAAAAGCTAAATCATTACTTCAAGTTGTTTAGCTTACTTAATATTTTTTATTTTATTTATGGACATGTTACTTTCCTAATATGAACACTTTATAGTGTTTAGGATGGAGATCATCTCATAAAAGGTTGGTATGTCACTAACTCACTACTTTACCCATTTTACTCTTAGAATTTAAATTTTTAAGTATTAGTTTAATAATTTTTTTTGTTGACGAATTGGCTGGCAATTTGGGACATCTTTCCCTAAGATTTTATCATTATTTAGGTAGGATTTATCAATGAAAAAGAGTAAAGAATCATGTTAGTAAGGAGTACGGTTTATGTTACGTAGTATTATTTATGAACATTTAATGATATAGCTTAGTAATGACATATAATTAAAGAGATGATACAATCTAGCGAACAATATCGATTATAGTCTAGATTATGACATACAAAAAATATAACTCATTTATACTTATCGATGTGTATTATGCTACCGATTGGGTGTTCCGTTGTTCTCTGCCTCGATACCGTGCTCTGCTTGTTCGAGGGTTTTTCCAGGGGATATTTTTGGCGATCACGCAGTGTCCTGTGCTGGTATCGTGGGTATTAAACATAGACATAATGTTGTTCGGGATACCCTAGTTGATGTTTGCTATCGTTCTGGGATTTCAGCAAGGAAAGAGGTTGATATTGGGTTGTCTGGAGGGAACGATGAGGCCCTCAGACCTGCTGATGTGTTACTTTATTCTTGGGATCGTGGTCGCGATGTCTGTGTTGATTTGACAGGATCTTCTCCTTTGACACAGGCAAGGCTATCTGACTTTATTCCTGGCGGGTTGTGGTTGATGCAGCTCAGCGGAAGCGGGATAAGTATGAGGCTCGTTGTCAGGCGATTGGATATGGGTTCATTCCCTTCTCCTTTTCTTCGTTTGGTGAATTAGAGAAGGAGGTTGTTGCGTTGCTTAAGTGAATTCAGAGGTTCTCGACGACGCAAGACATTGGAGCACGTGTTGCAGCTCATATTTTTACTAGGGTAGGCTTTTCTATAGCTAGAGGAGGCGGGGTCCAGATTGTATCTCGACTTCCTACTAATTTATTGTAGGTTATATGACTTTTTGTATAATAATAATAAAAATAATAATAATAATAATAATAATAATAATATTAATAAATCATAAAGATACAAAGTGTATAACTGTGTATACCTCACGATGAAAACAAAATTTGAACGTCGATAATCTAAATTGTTATCAAACAATCAGTTTGGGGAAAAAATAGGGTAATTCAATAGTCAATGCACAATCATATTAATTAATTTTTTTCAAACTTAGAGTTACATTCAACAACAATTCATAAAATAGTATATCAAATTGAAAAGGAAAATATAAATTGGTACCTCAATAACAATATTGCGTTGGCAATGAAAAAGGGGATGAATGGAGAAAGTTTTGGGCGGAGTAAAGAAGATAGTGAAAATAGAAAAGTGGTACCTCCTCCGTTTTATAATGTTAGTCCCATATAGAATCAATTACATAAAATAAGAAAACAAATATATTAGGAATCTAACATTAAAGTACAACATATTTCAATATTAGTTTACCTTATTTAATTTTTTTGATTTTTCATTAGGAAAGCACAAGTCATAATTGCATAATTTAAGGTAAAATTTTTCTTACTTAGAGGCATGTCGTTAATCCAAATTCAATTAATTCCAAAAAAAATCAAGTTATAAATGAAATATATTCAATATGGGTAGATTTTTTTGAAACACCCAAAATAGTATATGGGACTAACATTATGAAACAGAGGGAGTATTTAGTTACTGCGATTATTGTGGGTTAGTGGGGGGGTGTGGATAGCACTCTAAACAACGCGTTTAGAGGGGGTGTAGGGTGTCCTACCTACACTAGGGTTTAGTGTTCAATAATTAGTCTTGTTAGACTTTTCTCGGGCCAAGTTCGATTTTAATTAATAATTTGTTTTTAAGGTTGATCAATGGCCCTTTTTAAGAAGATGGGGTAATAAGGTGGAATTATTTCCAGAATTTCAAAAGTTGGGATTGTTTTGAGAAGATGAGTCAAAAGATGGGGTTATTAGTTTCAATTTTTCCCTTACCATTTGAGGGTTACCACTCTTACCATTTTATATTTTTATTAGGGTTTTACGTTATATTGGCGTCGAAGCAGCCAGAAATGGTGGCATTGATCTAAGGAGAAATTTTTTGTATATGGTGTTGGTGGGGTTGGGGATGGGGATGGGGATGTTGTTTGGCCAAAACCACCTTTTTTGCTAAGAAAGGAAAAAGGAAGTAGAAGGTAGAAGGGAAAATGGAGAAGTTAACGGGAAAAAATATTACTCCCTCCATCCCTTATTGATAGTCTCTTATGGCCTAATTTAAGTCCCAAAATGATAGTCTCATTTGCATTTTCCAACTATTATTAATATTAATTTTTTTACTTAAATTTCATTCAAATTGCAACATTATATGTGCAAATTTAGCTTTCCTTTGTAAATTTTGCATTTTCATATACTTTTATCACTTTCTCTCTTTACTTTTTTGCATACCCTATGTAAATTTACTTTTCCTATATACTTTTACTATATCTTATTTAAGTTATTTCAGTTCCTTAATTCCCATAAAATTCCACCATAAGGAACTATTAATAAGGTATGGAAGGAGTAGATGCTTTTTCGGGCCTGTTCATATTTAATGAACTAAGCTGAACTGAACTGATGAAATGAGCTGAAATGAATATTATATGAGAGAAGGAAATTGAGAGTTGAACTGATCTGAACTGATTGGAGCTGAATTGAACTGAAATTAAGCTGAAGTGAACAGGCCCATAGTGATGAGAAATTAGGGCTGCCTAAACATTATGTCTTATATAAGTGGTTATTTTCTCATTCTTTATAAGATTTTTGCACAACTTTATATTTATGCAAAATGTTTAAATCTACAATAATGGGGCTATAGTTAGCGCTAGAAAAACAATTTGGACTTAAA